CAATTCAGAAAGTGATGAGGCTACTAATACTTCAAGATGGGTTTCACTAAACTTTCATCAGAATTATTTACCTTATGTAAAATAGTAAGTCATCTCATTTCCTTTCAACTTTTATCTCGATGTACATACGTGATTAATTTCTCTCAAAATGATTAAATCTTTCTCAATTGTATTAAATTGCTTATATTTTTTGTCATCTAGGTGGTTGAACGACCTAATGTGAATTATTCTAAGTAACAAATTATCAAATAAAGGAAAATTAATTATTTTTAGTGAATTCTTTCAATGTGAAATAAAATTCATTGGAATTATTTTTTAAATGTGTTTATTCTAAAATTACATCTATTCATGAAAAATATATATTGTTAATTTTGAAAATGGAATTATTATAAATTGCATGGGTACTAAATAACAAATTTGCTATTATAACGATTGAAATTTTCTTAAGAAGAAAATATGACAACATACCAAGGTTAGAAGTTCTTTTTATTTTATTTTTAAAACTACATATTTTAATATTTATATATAATAAAAATTCATGTATAACAAATATTTGTAGATAATAGAAAATTTAAGCATTCAACTAGTAAAATGCACAATTATGTTTAATCGATGAAAGTATTAATGGAGGATTATCCTAAACAAAAATGAAAACAAAATATTGATTGGCTATATATTGTTTTATCTTTTTTATATGATAAAAAAAAGTTATTGTTATATGATATTTCAATGAAAAAAACACAAATGTATTAATTTTGAATTTCTTTAGAATTAATATGAAACTCTTTTATTAGGAGATACATTGTTTACTGTTTCATTTTCTCTATTATTATGATTAATCAATAATATTTTAGTAGTAAATAATTTATAACTTTGGATTAAATCAATAATAATATAATAATATAGTATTAAATCAGTGATAATATAATAGTACATGTATAATAATTTATTAATAAATCAATTATAACATATCTGTAAATATAATAACATAATAGTAAATCACAAAAATTTAATAGTTAAAGATTAATAACTTAATAATAAATAATAATAACTTAGTAATAAATTAGTGATAACTTAATAGTAAATTAATTTTAGTTTAATATTAATTAAATGATAAACTTAGTAGTATAAATTATAAATTACTTAGTAGTAAATAAATGATAAACTGTAAAATAATAATACTTAGTAGTTAATTATTGAAAATTTAAAAGTAAATTAGTAATAATTAATAGTAAATTATCATAACCTAGTAGTCAATCAATGATAATTGATAATTTAATAATAAATCATAGACAACTTAATAATAAATTAATGATAAATTAGTCATGAATCATAGATAATTTAGTATTAAATCAGTTATAAGTTTTGTAATAAATAATTTGAAAACTTAGTAAGAAATCAATGATAACATAGTTAATAAAAGTAAGTATAACATAATAGTTAATTATTAATAACTTATTAATAAATCAATGATAACTTAATAGTAAATAATTGATAACTTAATAGTTAATTATTGAAAACTTAAAAGTAAAATCAATACAAATATAATAGCAAATTATCAATATTTAATAATCAATAAGTGATAACTGATAACTTAATAGCCAAATTATGAATAACTTAATAGTAAATTAATGATAACTTAATAATAAATTATAGATAATTTATAGTAAGCTAGTATAATTTGTTAGTAAATAATTGAAAATTATTAGTAAATCACTTATAACATAGCAGTAAATACATAATAATATAATAATAAATCATTGATAATTTAGTAATAAATGATAATTTTTGTAGTAAGTAACTTAGTAGTAAATTAGTGATTATTTAGTTGTAAATCAATAAAATTTAGTAGTAAATTAGCTAACCATTAATAATTTTATAATGGATTATTGATAATTTAATGGTAACTAAATCAGTGATAACATTATAAAAAATTATCAATAAATTAGTAATAAATCATTTATAAAATAATTCTAAATTATTCATAATATAGTAATAAATTAATGATAGTTTAATTAAAAATATTGATAGCTTAGTTATAAATCATTGATAGCAAGTAGTTAATCAGTAATACTTTAATCATCAATCAATGATAACATTTTTTTTATATTTGAAATTATCAAAAATTGAACCTTGGTTACTAACTAGAGCGAAGTCAAAACTTTCATCTCAATAGTTAAGATAAATTTATCATAAACCTAAGTAATAAAAAGATTTAATAAAAAAATTTTAAATTTAAATAAAATAATAATATTATTATAAAATAAATTATCTCATATATTGTTAATTGACTTTTTAAACTCCATATTTTCACCAAAAAAAAATTTTTACTAGTATAATTGATTAGTATTTTATAAATTGATGATGAACTAAAATAAATCAAACTAATAATTTACAAAAAAAGTAAAAGTTATACAACCTTATAAAATCTAAAATTATGAGTTTTAAAGTAAAAATATAAAGATTGTAAGAAATTAAAATTATATTAACGTCATATGCACATTATGCATAGTAACTAAACATTTCTTAATTATATTTTATTAACAGTGAAAAAATTGTTTTGACTAAAAAAAGACATGATAATAAGAGTCAACATATTTTGATTGAAAAGAAAAATGCAAAATGTAAGAAGTTAAAGATTTTTACGTTTCAAATTAGTCGAATTAAGAATGTAAATCTAAAAAATAAAAGTTTTAACAACTTATGAATTTTGGAGACGCCAACATGAGAAAAATAAGAATGAAAGAATTAAGGTGAATTAAGATTTTAAAAAATAAAAGGAATGACATTTGCTAGCAGTAAATCTAGAGTCCATTTATTAGGAAATTGCTGGTCATAATAAATTAATGTTAATTTAGTGGTAATCATCAATAATTTAATGTTAAATAAGTTATAACATAATTGTAAATTAGTGATGGTAGTAAATTAATAATAATTTAGTAGTAAATTAGTGTTAACTTAGTAATAAATTATCTATAATTTAATAATAAATTATCTATCATGTAGTAGTACATTAGTGACAACTTAATAGTAAATCAGCGATAACTTAATTTAATAGTAAATAATTGGTAACTTAATAAAAAAAATTATAACTTAATAGTAAATTAATAATATAATATAGTAAATCATTAACAACTATATAGCAATAAATTGTTATCTATCTATTTCATTATTTAACTTGAAATCTTTACTAAAATAAATTGTTGTGTTGTATGGTATCTTTTATTACATTTATATCAACTAAAAAAGAATTATGTCTTGAGGGACTTAAAAAAAAAAGAAAAGAAAAATGAGTTTAAACTTATTTAAAAATAAAATAAAAAAGTTATCTATAAGTTATTTTTTTAGGATGCGTAATATTTTTAAATCAAATATATAATTTTAATAAATAATAATAATAATAATAATAATAACAATAATAGTATGTATTGTATAACTTATAATTTTATAATAATATTAATTAAATAGTGAATTTTTTTATGTGATTTATACTAGATATATAATTAAGCGTTTATCAAATAAAGAAATTATTCTATTTCAATTAAAAAATAGATTCAAATATTAAAAAAAATTCACTATCAATTTTAAAATCTAATAAAAGATTTAAAACAAAATTTACCTCCAAAATATAAGAATATTTCTTACCAATTGTCAAAAATGACATATCCTATTAATTTTAAAATTCTTATATTTCATTATTTAACAAAACAATATTAATATTGAACCAAAATTAATTGAGATATTTTAATATTTAAAAAACACAAAAAAAGCTATTTGCTTTAGGATAAAATACACCTTTAAGTGTAACTGTGTTTTTCAATCTCTTATCATAAGATATTTTTAGAAGTTATTTATATTTAATGGTATTTTAAGAAATCAAGATTTGAGACTAAAATTAATTTTAGTAAATATCCATTATAAATACGTAAATAAACTTCATTGATTATTAAATTAAGACTTTAGTATTTTTATTGCTTCATATCTTTTTCTTAGAACATGTTTATAAATTAATATTTTCTAATTAATAAAATTTGTGTAAATATACACTTTTTACTATAAAATGAAATTACAAAATAATTTATATTATTTAAATAGGTACATGTTAAAATGAAAGTCAATAATGAAAAAAGAAAGCATTATATAATTATCTTATTTCAAAAACAAAAAATTTACAACAACTCCATTTCGAATTAAAATAAAGAATTTAAATTTTTAGTACCAAATAGATAAGAAACAAAACTTGAATGAGTTGAACAATAAGTGATTGTCCAGAAAATTCATAAAATTAAAAATAATGATTTACTACAAAGAACTAAAAAGAGAGCTCGTGAAAAAAGTACAAAGCAAAAAAAAAAAATATAATATATATAATTCAATTGATTGTAACAAAAAATAATTTTCTTAAATAAAAAAAATGTAAAAAATGTTAAAAAAAATAATGAAAATGATGACTTAACACTAAAATACTTGAAGAAAAAAAATTTTCTAAATAGAAAAATATTATATATTTTAAAATTTTGTTTATATTCTTTTGCTTTCAACCTTCACTGATTATATATTTAAAATTATATATTATAATTATTTTTTCCTGGAGCTTTACATTAAATTTATGTTATATTTACTTTTTAAACTTAAATTTACATTTCAATTTAATTTAGTATTATAATGATTATTTTAATTTATTACTATAAAAAATTAAATTATTAGTTATATTAATTTAATTTATATTAATGTATTATCAATCAATAAATATATATTGTTAATGTATTAAATAATATTATTTTATTAAATATTAAATATTAACTTTTAAAATAAATATATAAAAATTAAAATTAAAAAAATTACTATTAATTATGTGGGTATCATATAAATTTATTTTATTAATAAATTAATATCACTAAATTCGTCGACATGTATAAAATTCACTCACAGGATACTCGAGTATAACTTAATTAACAATTATTATGCAAGTATCACGACTAGTAAATCTTAAAATAAGACTCTGTGGCCCTGATTTGTTCTTCGTCAACGCGGAAATGTTTGGTCATAAAAGTGGGAACTGATAGTGAATTTGATTTAATCATGCAAACCATATCCAATGCCTGAGGTATTGCTGCTACTTTAGCCCCATTTCACAGAAGCTGTTTAAACCAAATACTCTTGAAACACTAGCTAGTTCATTTCTGGAAGTAATTCTCTCTAGCTGTACAGTTTGCAATAGTAGCTGTATTTCAAGCCTCCAGGAAAGAAGAAAAGTTCACGTGTTGATACGCTTTAGAGTGATGGTAAGCAGAAAAATTATGTTCCACAGAAGATGAGAAGAACTTGTAGGTGGTCAGTAGTTCACATCCTCTCTGCCATCTTATCTTTCTGTACAATTTTGATATTGTCTTCTCTTAATGGCTGCTCTGCTATAACTGTTATAACATCAAAAAGTGGGCTATTTGATGGACAAACTCTTGTTTCAGCTGGAAATAGATTTGAATTGGGGTTCTTTGGCCCCATCCAGAAGCCCTGAAGTGAAGAGATATGTAGGGATATGGTACACCTCCAGTCCACAAACAGTTGTTTGGGTTGCTAATAGAGGAAACCACTTTCAGATAAAAGTGGAGTTTTATCTATTGCAGATGGCAACCTCAAGCTATCTGATAAGAAAGGGAACCGTTATTGGTCTACAGAGCTTGAGGTCAGACGTTTCAACCTTACGGCAAAGCTGAATGATACTGGTAACTTAATTTTGTTTGATGCACGGTCGACGGTTCCCTTTGTATGGCAAAGCTTTGACCATCCAACAGATACATTTCTTTTTGGCATGAAGATGGATGAAAAGTTAGCTTTAATTTCATGGACCAGTGAAGAAGATCCTGCACCTAGGAATTTCACGTTCCAGCAAGATCTGAAAGGAAAGAATCAGCTTGTAGTCATGGAAAGAAGCATCCCTTACTGGAGATCAAGTGGGGCGGAGTCAGGTAAAATTTTTAAATCGAAGGAAATGCCTTCTTTAATAGTCAACTTCTTGAGTTTTACAGAGAAAAACCCAGAACTTTACAATGATACAAGAATGGTGATAAATTTTACTGGAGATTTACAGTATTGGAAGTTTGACACTGACAAGAAAAATTGGTCCTTGATATGGTGGGAGCCAAAAGATAACTGCAGTAAGTTCAATTTTTGTGGGAACTTTGGCACCTGTAGTCGCAACAATAAGTTACCATGCAAATGTTTGCCAGGTTTCAAACCTAAATTCTTAGATAAATGGAATGCTGGAGATTTTTCGGGTGGTTGCTCCAGAAACGATACATCATGTGGCGACGACTTCTTGAGCTTGAAAAGGATGAAAGTGGAATATTCAGGCTTACCGTACGAGGCTAAGGATGAACAAGACTGCAGAGAGGAATGCCTGCTTGGGTGCCAGTGCCAGGCATATTCAGTTGTCGCTCAAAGAGGGTTCACTAATTCATGTTTGACCTGGAGAGGGGATCTCGAAAATCTTCAGGAGGACCAAGATGATGGCTATGATCTCTACGTCCGTGTCTCGCGGTCTGATATAGGTACTTTACTCTTCACAAAGCACATATATATCAATAGTCATGTTAGCTAATTTAGTAAGGATAGTGTAGAAAATTTGCAAGAATCCGATGCCAATTTTCCCGAGCTTAAAATGAACCTGGGAAATGCATCTCCTAGAATTAGCATTCGAATGCATACTGGGAGTACTAATTTCTTCTTTGGATGATTAAGCAACATATCATTCCAGAAACCAAATTTTCCATGCTGGAACTTTAACAACTAAAATTGGAAAAAAAAAAAAAAAAAAAACTGCTCAAAATACTAACTTGTGTATTGTCAATACCCCAACCAGAGCAAATCTATCTGTTAACACTGTAGCTCGCAACATTCATCAAAATTTCAATCTAATTCTAATATGAAAAGACAACAAAGAATCTCGTCAATCAAATCTTCTGTTTTAGCAAATGCAGCGCAAAGGCCTGCTGCTATTTCTTTCCAACCTGATGTTGCAAATTGCAGCATTCAAAGAGTGCCCTAATGGTTACACAGCAACTGAAGGCAAATCTTCAGAATTTTTAGTTTTTGCCTCTTGCAGGAACAATTTACCAAAGCAACTCTGAAGTAAAAGCTTGATGTAACTATATCTATTCTACTTTGCAGAATCAACAGTTAGAAATTGTGAGACTTGTGGCACGAATTTGGTCCCTTATCCCCTAAGCACTGGACCAAAATGCGGTGATCCAATGTACTCCAGTTTCTATTGTAACAACAATACAGAACAGCTATGCTTCATGGCACCTGGTGGCAATTATAATGTCATTAGTGTCAATCGGGAGGCACAACAATTTGTTATCCGAATACAAGCCGATGAAGCAAATAATTGTGGTGCTATGCATTCGTCAGGAAACAAAAATCTGCAGCTCAGTGAATCATCGGCATTCAGTTTGACCAGCATGTACAGTAGTTATCGAGGCAACTTTACTGCTAATTCTTCACTAATTGGTGTAGTTGAAGTAGAAATTACTTGGAAGCCACCGCTAGAGCCAACCTGTAATTCATCTGTTGACTGCAAAGATTGGCCGCATTCAACTTGCAATAAAAGAGGAAATGGACCAAAAAGGTGCCTTTGTAATGCTAACTTTCGTTGGAATGGCTCAGCTTTAAATTGTACTCAAGGTTAGCAATAAATTTGATGCATAAAATTGTGGTATAGCACTTACCTCTAACAAATGGCAAGTCAGTTTGGTCATGTATCTACCGCTTTTGGAATAAAATTCATTCTGCCTTGCCTTTCAAGAAAACACAAAAAAAAAAAAAAAAGTTTTGGTCTATATGCCATCAAGAGTGGTGCCCCTTAAGCACTATTGGTATGACATTCTCTGACCCATTCTTGCAGAAGAGCATTTTAATAAAAACAAGCCACTTCCTCTGATTCTTGGAGTATCTGTGCCAATTGCAATGGGCTTTTTGTGTGCCGTTGTTTCTATCTACATGTGGAGAACAAAGATGGTAAAGAGGCGAGGTAAGTGTGGTGCATCTTTTACTGACTTCCACCAACTTACTGGATCAACATAAAAGTAATACTTATGGGATTTTATATATAGTTAGTTTTTAACAAAAAGTATTGTTGTATCCTCCTAAATGTTTGTTTCTTTTGAATTCAGCAAAACAAAGAAAAGCTGCTCTTCATCGGTATGACACTGAGAGAGGTGTTAAAGAGTTAATGGAGTCGAGCCATTTCGAAGAAAAGGATGGGACGGGCATAGACGTACCTTTCTTTGAATTTGAAAGCATACTAGCTGCAACAGACAATTTCTCAGAAGAAAACAAACTTGGAAAAGGAGGGTTTGGGCCGGTTTACTAGGTATAGTTTGCGAGACTTTCAGAAATTGATGTCATTTATTCTTGGTGGTTCTATTATCTTACAAAGGCTATGATCCC